TCCTAGGGCCAGTCGCCGCCCCTATGGCACCACTCGGCGCCCTAGGTGCTCCACCGATGTCCCTGCTGCCTACAAGTGTCTTGTCTCACTCTACACTATAAATAGAGGGTGTGGAGCTCGGTGGAGAAGTGCCCCATTCAATTCTGAGCTCTCCAAGCTTCTCTAGGATTTCTAGCATAGCATTAGCTATAGAGTAGTAGTCTAGTAGTGGAGTAGAGCAAGAGCATGAGCTTCTCTTGGAATCTAGAAGAGTCTTCTAGGTCTGGTATAGCTCTTTTATAATTCTTTCATTTAGCATTTACTTTATTCAGTATTTATTTTAGTACTTTATTCTAGTATTATTGCTTTGCTTTACTGAAGTACTTAGTCATTAGTGTTCATCATTAGTGAGCTTAGGTGCTTATTGTTTGGCATTAGTAGCATAGGTTATCTCTTAATTAGTATTCGTTAGTATTGGCTCCACCGTCTAGTTAGGGTGCCTTGATCTTATTTCATCAGAGCTCGGATCAAAGTAGTAAGTTTATAGATTAAATGTGGTGCTTAGGCTATATATTACCTATGGATACGGTTAGGCATCTAGATAGATTGTGGTAGCTAGCAAGTGGTGACAACCTTATTCCTCTATATTCCACCATGATAGGTCTAGTTATTAAATCATAGGGCTCATGGCAGACCTTGTCTATTTAACTCTTCTAGTTGGTAGGTGGGCTGTCCTGAAGTACTTGCATTTCTTCTAGTTATTAGTTTACCCTTAGTTCCTCAAAAGATAAATCGCTCGCTCTTCCACCTAGCTATCTCTAGTGTAGCTTGTTTAGTAGTTTAGTTTAGGTAGTTCATATTCAACTTCCACTATCATTGACCTACCTAGGATACACTTAGGCTTCCCTTAGCAATCTACCAGTAAATATAAATTATAGCCTTCCACCTTCCTGTGGGTGTCGATGAAATCTAGTTGGCAGTCTACCGAGGGGTATGGCCACGGTAGTAGATGAATTGGTGGAGGTGCGCGTGATAGGAACTATATGGTGACACAGAACGCAGAGACATCGATTTAGGCAGGTTCAAGCCGTTAGCTTAATGTAATACTCTACATCCTATGTCTTTGGTGGATTGTATTTTGAGATGAGGATCTACAGACTAGGGGACCTTGCCCCTCCTTATATACTCTGGAGGGGTAGGGTTACAAGAAAAGTATCCTAATCGGTTACATGGCAAGTATTCTATTATATTACAATATCTATAGTATCCGATCAGATCTTCTAGGTGCCTTGCGGTGTACGCCGAGCGGTGTCGTGCATCGCAAGTCTTGATGTCGTGTGTTGAACCACCCCTGATGGTGCATCCCATGTCCCTTGTCATGTGTATTTGGGGTTATACCCTCAATAGCTAGTCACCGAGCACCTTGTATCCGCTGAGCAACGCCATCTTGATCATATCCGAGTAGTTTAACTTGGAGCTGACCAGTTTAACTGGTCACTTGAGCGGTGAAAACGGATGCCGACTAGTTTAACTGCTTGACTGACCAATGGAAATGGATTCCAACCAGTTTAATTGGTTAACAGATCTCGGACTTAGCCAAATAAGGCTTGCTAGAAGGATGTAAGGGGCTCAAGATAAAATTTGAAAATTCTTTCCCTTAGGAGATGTGTAGCCATTGAGACTCCGCTTGCGAGGTCAGATGATTATCATCCATGACTTAGTCAATAAGGAGGATAAATCATAAAAAAAGCACTACATTCATCGCCAAGTGAAGTGTAGCCACTTAGTCCCTGAGCCTAGTAGTAGGTGAATGATTCACGTAGTGCCAGGGTCAAAAACTACAGATTTCAGACACCAAACCAGTCATCAGCTTATCTGGAGACCAATAAAAAGAAAATCAGTACATGCACCGTAAGGTGTAGTGTACACACTATAGTCCCCGAGCCTGCTAGAAGATGGAGAAAACATCTTGTAGCAGTGTCAAAGAATTTTAATGAAAGCATGCCAACGTCATCTGTCATGTACTTATAAAGACTCCGGACGTGCTGCCCAAGATCAGCACTCTGATCCGAACAGCATGGACCAACTTGATAGCACACCGATAAGATGTAGTAAAATTCGACCACCAAGGAGAGTCCCCAGCTTAGCTGGTAACTCTTGCACGAAGAATCTGAACGCCGAGGAGTTCTTAGCTTAGCTGGCAACCCTTGCATGAAGAATTCAAACATCGAGGAGTCCCCAGCTTAGCTGGCGTGCCCACAGCGTAGCTGAGATGAAGCGACAAGCAATCTGAATGCCGAGGAGTCCCCAGCTTAGCTAGCGAGCCCCAGGCGTAGCTGACGATGAAGCGACAAACAATCCGGAAGCCGAGGAGCCCCCAACTTAGCTGGCGAGCCCCTAACATTGCTGACGATGAAGCGACGAACAATCCAGACATTGAGGAGTCTCTAGCTTAGCTGGCGAGCCTCTAGCATAGCTGACGGTGAAGCGACGAACAATCCGGACACCGAGGAGTCCCCAGCTTAGCTGGCGAGCCCCTAGCGTAGCTGATGATGAAGCGACGAATAATCTGGACACTGAGGAGTCCCCAACTTAGCTGGCGAGCCCCCAGCGTAGCTGATGATGAAGCGACGAACAATCCGACCAGTTGGTTGGTGAAGAATCGAGCACCGAGCAACCCAACCAACTGGTCGGTGGTGAAGTGAGCGCCTAGTAGAAGTGAGCGCCGAACAATCCGACCAATTAGTCGGCGATGAAGTCCATGAACCTAGCGGTCCGACCAGTTGATCGTCGGAGAAGTCCGATTGCTAGGTGATGTAACCACCTAGACGATGATCCTTTTGTCCTTCCTAGGTGATCTAGTCTCCGAGAGTAAAAAATAAGCTCGTTGACTGAACTAGGCCCCCGCAATATAAATATGTAGAATGAGTAGTACATGATGTATAAAAATAAAATATGTGAACTCAACGATGAAGGCAGTAGAGCAGAGTAGATAAACATTATGTTTATTTGGAGTTTATTCATATTTTAAATATGATTAAATTTCCTTCCAGTTGCTGTAAACACTAAGTGTTCTTTTGGACATGTATTTATATTTAATAAACCACCCTAAGCCGTTAGTTTGTTGGTTGAGCCCCCTAGTCCCGGCTAGCCCGTAAACCATAACGTGGAGCGCTGGAGCTCGTGTGCGTGTAGAAAGACAAGCGTCACCGAGGATCCGCTGCCGACCACCCATAACACAGAGGGCGGACGCTCATGTACGTGTAGGGAGAAGCCAAAGACAGGGCCATCTCTAGAAAGCACAATCGTAAACATGGCTGTTCGGGGAGCCATTGAGGCAAAAGCGTATGTCATTTTTACGATGGTATATACGGAGAAAAGTCGTTCGGAGAATAATCATGTGCAGGATGGTATGAAGAAACATCATGACGAAAACTTTATTTAACATAGAAATAGGAAGGGTACTTATCTTTAGACATAATATATGGTCGGTGTTGACGGAATTGCTCGGCCCTCGAGTTTTCTGCCTTGTCGTCATGGCGGCGGCGGTTGTTATAGCACTATTCTTTACGACGATCATCATTGCCACATGGCATAGCTCTCTTATAACTCGGGTGGCTCGCTTGATGGCTCGGGCGGTTTGCTTAGCAGCTCACTTAGTGACTCGGATGGCTCGCTGGCGGCTTGACGTGGCTCGCTTAGCGGCTCATCTAGCGGCTCGGGCGTCTTGACGCAGTCGGACAGGTGCTTTTGGTGTAATCGTGTTCGTGTCTTAATCTCTACGTGCATGCTGGTGATGGGAGTTGGTCGCGTGAGGCACCGCTCGATGCTGCCGAATGCCGAGGTCGCCCCTTGACTCTAGTCGACTTCACGTCGATCTACCATAGGTCCATGTCTAGTTCCGTCGCAGCTGCCAGTAATTGTCATGAAGACAGGTGGAAATAAAACATACAAGCACTTAATTAAAGGTAAGGAATAGACTTAGCTATTTACGTTGCTAAATCTGATGTGCTCCCATGCATGCAAACTAAAGAATGATTATTCTAATCAGCATGGACATGCAGATCGCATATTTGTCCGCTTGCTTGTCTTGTAGATCGTACGCCTTCTTTATTTGTTCGCTGACTAAGGGCAACGTGGCTGCGTGTATGCCTTCGTACCCTCCATGCAAATCCATCCTTGGTGCCAAATTTGGCATCGTCGTACTCGCCGATAGGAAAACGCCTTTGCCTCCGCGATTGATTATCTGATCCGATCCGGACTTGGATCCGTTGGAACTCGTCGGCGAAGGAGACGCCGAGCAGCCGATGCACAACAGATAGCTCCGAGTAGTAGATTGATCCTTGCGAACACGACGTTGAATTCGACATCTGAGTCTCGTCAGGTCATCAGCAGACGCCGTCGTAGCAGACCGAGTTGCCGTGAAAGGCGTTGATCTTTAGGTACGCCAAGTGATCAGCACTCACACCTCCTACCTAGCGCGTCACTGTCGACGACATCTAATCGGCAGTCTACCAGTAGATTAATCGGTGGAGATACGCGTGATAGTAACTAGATGGTGACACACAACACAGAGATAGCGATTTAGGTAGGTTCAGGTCGTCAGCTTTACGTAATACCCTACGTCATGTGTCTTTGGTGGATTGTATTATGAGATGAGGATCTACCGACTAGGGGACCCCTACCCCTCCTTATATACTCTGCAAAGGTAGGGTTATAAGAAAAATATCATAATCTATTATATGGTAAGTATTCTATTTAAATTACAATATCTATAGTATTCGATCAGATCTTCAAGGTGCCTTGCGGTGTATGGTGAGTTGTGCGCCACAAGTCTTAATGTCGTGGGTTGGATCATCCCTTGATGATGTGTCCCATGTCTTTTGTCGTGGGTACCTAGGGTTATACCACCTATAGTGAAAAAAATATAAATTTGACACTCGGTACATATCGAGCGAAGTGCTACGTGATAGTACTATGCGCTTCTTTTTAGAAGCCCCTTCTTTTCACCTCTATAGCATTCAGTTGTCATTTGTTTTCTTGATCTTTGAGGCCAGTTGCTTCTTCCTTGGTGTTATCTTCCTGGCAACAGTCCACACAACTTCTAGCTCGACTTTTAGAACTGATGGTCCAACTTGGACTGCACCCATTGATAATTTCCTGGAATGACAGATTTTCAAACTAAAGTGCAGTCACAGTGTCTATAGCTTTAAACATTAAACCAAAGTTCCTGCTTGTATACCTCCTAGTGCTTGGACCTGATGAGGTTGCTGGAGCTGGTAGCTCAATCTCTAGAGGCACTGGTTCAGCTGGAAGCTCTCTGTTGGCTGTGGCTGCTTCATCAGCCTCCACAGCTGCTCTAGCTTTGGCTTCAGCTTGTTCTACCTTGAGCCTTGCCCTTACTGTAGCTTCCCTGGCAGCTGCTGCTCTTGTCCATAGGGTTGCTTGTTCAGGAGCTGGGATCCCCATGTCTTTGCCATCTTCCTCCCGGGCTTCACACTTGTCTTCTTGGTTCTCTTCATGCAACAAGAAAAAAAATAGGGTGAACACATTCGAGCAACAACTTAGATGAATAAATAATGTGAAGTTCATACCTTTTCTTAGTTCCTGTTAGTTGACACCTCTAGCTACCTTGCCTGTGACCATATTGACCACATCTTTTACATAAGGCTTGTTTGGTGGCTTTACCACTTCTCTCTGCTGCCGGTTTGGCCCTCAGGTTCTTTTTTCTTCCTAGCCCTCTCTTTTTGCCACTTGGAGGATGGAGATGAAATCCCTTGTCCACTTTTGGCCACTGATTTCTATCTGTAATGTTTGGGACAATTCCTGCATAAAGTAGCTTGGAACCTCTCAACAGACTAATAACTGTCCACAAAGCTATCCATGTTTGGCTGTCTTGTAGTAGTGATGATTGATAGAGCATATGGACAAGGTTCCACTGTAACTTGCCGCCCTCTACAAGTGCATGCCTTCTGAGTTAGATAGACAACATGCCACCTCACCTCTTCATTCTTATAAATTTCATTGACTTCTGCTTGCTCAGGGTGCCCTTTGGTGACCTTGAGGTGCCCTAGCCTCTTGGATGCTACATTTAGTTGGTGAATGACAGTAGGCAGTGTCCCAGGGGATAATGCCCTAGAGATCCTCCCCCTTTTCTCAAACAGTACCACTAACTTCTCCCTTAAAGCATGTACCAAACCGTTTTTAGGCATATCCTTCAACTCCTTCACCCAAGCATTCCAAGACTCAGCAAGGTTGTTGTTAATGTAATCACATTTGATGTCTTCACTGAATTTACTTCTTATCCACAGCAAACTATGATGTTCTTGTAGCCATTTACTTACTCCAGGGCTTGCTGCCAAAACCTTATAAAAAAGTACTTGAATCTCTGAGGAGAGTAGGCTCTAGCTGCAGGCCACATATTTTTGCCATACACCTCTCCAGTGTAGTACTTCTTCATGTTCTCCATGAGATGTTTGAAGCACTCTCTCTGCTCTGTCCATGAAAACACTTGCTTGACTGCTGCTTCAAGCCCCTTGCATGCATAAGTGCAAACAGCTAACCTAGGAAGGGGTCCTATAGCTTTTCCTAGTTACTCCATGAACCATATCCACACTACTACATTCAGACCTATCATAAGCGGTTCGTAAAGCCCATCACTAGCGCTTTTCAGTCTCGACAATAAGCTGTCGGTGGTGATGATATTCTCATCACAAGGGGTTTGCAACCAACGGTGATATTAACTTATCATAGTCGGTTCGTATTACTAGCCGGCGGTGATTTGAATTTTCAAAATTCCCCAAAACAGGTCAAAAAAATAGCAAAATTTTTTGTTTCAATCCTGTAAAGCCCCCCACTAGCTCTATCTTCATTGTACCGGAAAGCTGCTCCAGCTCCAACTCCATGCTATTTTTTATGTTACGTGGTGCTAGGATTCGAAACTAAGACCTTTGTCCTTTGCTCCTCTAACCACTCCACCCCTAAGTCACTTGTGTCCATATAGCATATCAATTCTCCTGGTATTCACTTTTTAGGATTTAAAATAAATATTTAGAACCCTAAATGGATTCAGATGAAAAAAATCATAAACTATAAATTTGTTGTTCTGATCGAGATCTACAACTTTGATTTTGGTTGTTTCACCATCCGAGGTCGTTTAACAAATTTGAATTTCAAAACATTAAAACTTCAGCTAGACTTTTGGGACCTCAAATGATTTCAAATGAAAACTCATCAACTACAAAGTTGTTCTCATCGAGATCTACAACTCTGGTTTTGGTCGATTTTCCAACCAAGGTTGTTTGAAAATTTTGGTTTTTAAAATTTGAAAATTTCAGATACAAATTTGAGACTATAAATGATTTCTAATGAAATAGTTGTCAACTACAAAGTTGTATATCTGATCGAGATTTATAATTTTGGTTTTGGTCATTTTTTCATCTAAGGTCTTTTGTACAATTCGAAATTTTTGAATTTCAAAATTTGAGTGCTTCAAACAGAATTATGGTACCGTAAATAGTTTCAAATGAAAAAGTCATCAACTACAAAGTTGCCGATACCGTCGAGGTCTACAACTTTTATAGAAAGTTTGTCTTCATCTGACTTTATTTGAAAAGTTATGAATTTTATTATGCTGCAGCATGGTTATCACTACCGTATCATACAACAAGCTAGCGGTGAAAAACACCTTCACCACCGGTTCATATGGTGAGGCGATAGTGATGAGGAGCATATCATCACCGCCAGTTGGTGGTGCAAACCAGCTATGATGATGGACTATCACTGCCGGCTGATAAGACGAAGCGGCGGTGATAGTTATAAACCCGCACGTTCTTATGAACCGGTGGTGATACTCTCATCACCATTACAAACTGTTAGCTATCACCAATGGTTTTAATGATATCGGCGGTGATAAAGGTGTTGGTGATAGGTCAATCTGTAGTAGTGCCAGTCTTATTTGGTTTCTATCTCAAAGAAACCAAAAGCTAATGGAAACATCCAATTATGCCCATCTAATGCTAAAGCTGCATGCATTTGTGCATTCCACTCCCCATTTAAATGAGTGGACTCAATGCTAATATAAGGCCTTCATCCATATAAGAATCCATCTATGCAACCCTTGAATGCACAAAAAAATATAGTGAAAATGGACTTTGCCACCAACTGTCACTGTGTCAATTTCTACAATACTACCAGGTGACCTCAACTCTACCTCAGCTTTGAATCTATACAACCAATCATAAGAATCAGACCACTTACCAAAAAGTTTGTTTGCTGCTCTCTGCCTCCCATACCACTAAAAGGTCTTAATTGGCTAGAGGGGGTGAATAGCCTAATTTAAAAACTACAAACCACTAAATAAACTTGTTAGACAACTAAAAGGCTATAAAGCTTTTTGCACTAGCTCTAACAAGTGTTGCAAGCCTCCTATCCCAACAATTTTAGTTGCTATAATCTCTAAGACAATCAATGGCTGAGTCACTAAGAGCTCTCAAAAGCTAGCTACACTAAAGAGCTCAACTAGGTGAGAAGCTAAACTAGCAAAGGTAATACAAGCTCTCAAAACTAATTACACTAAAGAGCTTGTTACAACTACTTTGCACGAAGTAAAGAGAGGATGGAAAAGTTTATACCGCCGTGTAGAGGTGCTGAACCAATCAACCAATCAACACAATATGAATACTGGTTGAAATCCAATGGAAAGAGACAATCAATTTTTCTCCCGAGGTTCACGTGCTTGTCGGCACGGTAGTCCCCGTTGTATCGACCAACACTTGGTGGCTAGGCGTCTAAGAGGTATTGCACGAACCTTGTCTACACAATTGGACACTGCAAGAACCTACCCACAAGTGAGGTAGCTCAATGACACGAGCAATGTACTAGAGTTGCCTTTGGAGCTCCGCCAAGGAAGGCACAAGACCCCACAAGCAACCGATCGAGGCCGAAGACAACCACCAACTCTGCTCAACGATCCTCCAATCACTAGGCCGTCTAGGTGTCGGTAAACACCAAGAGTAACAAGCTCACAACCAGCCCAAATCACCCAACTAGTGCCACAAGATGATGCAACTCGATGCAATGCACTAGAGGCTCTCCAATCTCACTCAAGATGATGAAATCAAGTGAATAAGTGAGGGGAGTGTGTTGCTCAGCTTCCAAACGGTGTGCACAAGTGTATGAGGTGCCAATAGGGTGGCCAAGGCTAGCCACACCCTCTATTTATAGACACACAAGCAAATAGAGCCATTAGCCCTTTGGAGTTGTTTCTACGAGGGCACCAAACAGGGCGGTGCGGTAACCGGACAGGGGGTGATGGTGCCCCCAACAGTCAAATTCCAACAATCGACCTACAGCTAGTTGGTCACCAGACAGGGTGACGGTGGCACCGGACTGGGTGTGGCGGTGCCACCCTGGCTGAGCCCCCAAAAACCCTGCTCTCTAGATAATTAGGACGGTGCACCGCCACCCCACGGCGGTGACTAGTTCGGTGCCCTTTCGGCTCTAACTCCAGCAAGTCCCAACCTCGGTTAAAAGCGGCAGTGGCACCGGACAGCCACCGATGGTGCACCATCACGCACACGAAGGTGCACACCGCTGTGTTTGGTGACCACCTCAAAGCTACTGCTCTCAGCCATGTCTAGGCGGGCACTAGACAGGCCTGGGCGGTGCACCACCTGACCCATGGCGGTGACCACCCCAAGGCAAAAACCTCTGTTAGCTGCATTTTCGATTCTCGATTCGATCCACAAGTAGTCTAACACTACTTTACAAGCGATGCCAACTCTCAAAGTGTTTTCTCAAAACATGTTACAGCCAAGTTAGCATTACTCAAAACATTTTTGATAAATATTTTCGCTTGCTCTCTGATGTGCGCTAGGCCTAAATGCAATGCATGAAGTCCAACACCTAGTGGCACTAGATGACCGAATTGTCTAGTTAAGAACCCCTCTTAATAGTATGGCCATCTACTCTAAATGTGATCACACTCTCTATAGTGTCTTGATCACCGAAACAAAACCCCTATTTATACCTTTGCCTTGATCTCCATAGGGTTTAGTCTTTCTCTTTCTTCTTTTCCAAGTTGAGCACTTGATCATCATCACATGTGGCCATCTCATCATTTCATGTAATCAACGTCACCATTTGAGTGCCACTGTTGGTATATTTAACGCACACAGATAAATCCACAAGCGCATGGACACCATTGTAGCTTTCACCTGGAAGTATTCCAAGCATCGTATCCATAGGGAAACATGTGAGACTAACTATGATCTAACTTAACTAGGTGTAGCAACAACGTTGAGATAAATAGGAGCATAGACAGGAAAACTAAGGTTCTCTAGTTCTGACTTGGGTAAGCTATGTCTTCTACTATTCAACTAGGGACATTACTAGGGAAAGACACCAGCAGAGGATGTTTTCCTTCGTAATCGCGTCCTACTTGCACCTACAGATGGGAGGTGGACTAC